GCCGGTGGTGGGCGGTGTCGCGACGTCGCGCCCGGCGCGATGCATTGGGCGGCGCGTAGAGAGGTGCACGCACTCGCCCGATGGTGCTGTAGATGCTGTTCGAGGCGACAGTAGCCGATGCGCCAGACGACGCAGCGGCGCGCCGGCCCGCGGCCGATGCGCCCGACGCGGAGGCAGTGGGCGCTGTAGGAGAGGCCCCCACACCCCGATGGTGCTGTAGACGCTGTCGAGGTGGCAGCGGTCGATGCGCTAGACCGCAGCGGCGCGCCGGCCCGCGGCCGATGCGCCCGAGCGGAGGCAGTGGCGGCGCTGTAGGATAGGAGCGCCCCACACGCCCGATGATGCTGTAGACGCTGTGGAGGTGCAGCGTTCATGCTCTAGACGGCGCGCGGCGCGCGCGGGCCGATGCGCCCGACGCGGAGGCAGTGGGCGGCGCGTAGGAGAGGAGGCCCCACACGCCCGATGATGCTGTAGACGCTGTGGAGGCGGCAGCGGTCGATGCGCCAGACGGCGCAGCGGCCCGCCAGCCCGCGGCCGATGCGCACGACGCGGAGGCAGTGGGGCGCTGATGGACAGGCTCCGGTGGACGCGCCCGCCCGTCGTCGAGGCGACCACACCTGCTGGCTCGCAATTATGTCCCCGCCGAGTTCGAGCCGCCGGCTGGCATGCAGCTGTGCCGAATGGACACCGTCTGTGCCCATTGTGGAGCGCTGCGCTGGCGTGCCGACCCGCAGCGCCTTTGCCATCAGGGCAAGGTGCAGCTTGACTTCCATCCCCCGCCGCCGACGAGATGGTGGCTGATACCCCCGCACGGCGTTCTATGACGAGTTTCGGGGCAAAATTCGCGCTTACAACACGGCCTTCCAGCTGGCCAGTATGGGGTGCAACGTCGTCCGACACGACGGGCGTATCACGCGGCTTTCACCGTTCAGGGTAGCGTGTGTCATCGTATGGGATCTCTACTGCCCGCTCGCGGCGGCGAGAGCAGTTCATGCAGGTGTATTTCCTCGACGCAGACGAGGCCACCGCGCGACGTGCCACCATGTGTGGCGCGCCTCGACAAGCCGTTCTCGACATCCTTTTGGCATGCTGCACGAGCACAACAACTACGTGCGTGCGCTCCAGCCGGCTCTGCTGATGGCGCGCGGTGTGCCGAACTGCCGGATCGTGTTGTCGGCCGAACACCGGCCGCTGTCGTAGCACGAGCGCCGTTCAATCTACCGATCGGTTCGCGAAGTGGCGGTCCTGATGCCCAATGATGGGGGCCGGCGCGACATCGTCGTTCGCGAGCGCGGCGGACAACTGTTCCGCATCGACGAACTGAGCCGCCAGTACGACCCGCTGCTCTATGTGCTGCTGCACCCGCGCGGCACGGACGGGTGGTCGCTCGAGCTGAAGCCGAGCGCGGCGTCACAATCCGTCAGTATGGTGCGTTCCACATGCGCTTCCGACCGGTCATTTCAATCTCATCCGCGAGGGGGCCGGCTGTTTCAACAGTACCTGTGGACACTGAGGCAAAAGCTGAGTCGAGTCGTCTGTCGTATGTCGCGCGAACCAGACGGCTTCAACGGCTTCCGCGCCGAGACCATCCGCGGCGTGCGAGACGCGCTGGCTGACGGCGAGGAGCACGGCCGAGCCGTCGGACGGCGCGTGGTGCTGCCGGCATCCGTAACGAGTAGTCCGCGCTTCATGATGGCCAAACTACAAGACGCTCTCTGCTACGTTCGAGACTTTGGCGCCGCCGACTTTTTCATCACCGTGACGTGCAACCCGGCCTGGCCAGAGATTGAGCAAACTCTGCGCACCCTCTACCCCTGAGAGAGGCCGGCGACTACGATCGGCCGTGCGACCACCCTGACGTTTGTCATCAGGTTTGACCTCAAGCTGCAGCGCTGCTGAAGCAGCTGCGGGGCGGCATCCTGGTCGACAGCGGGCCATTCTGCACACGATTGAGTGGCAGAAGCGTGGCCTGCCGCACGCTCACCTTCTGCTGTGGTCGTGCCCGCCGACAAACCTCGCGCCGAAGACGTGGACACTGCGTGTGCGCTGAGCTGCCATCCCGAGACCGATCCGGAACTGCACGCGATCGTCTGCACCAAGATGTGCATGGTCCGTGCGGCGCGCTGAACCCGCAGGCGGTCTGCATGAAGGCGGCCGCTGTAGCGTCGGCTATCCGCGCCCGTATCTGGAGGCCACAGAGCTGCCAGAGCGCAGCTATCCCAAGTACAGGCGGGCGCCGCCGGAGACGGCGTCAACGTGCGCGGACGCCCGGACGGCGCGGTGTGGAAATCGACAACCGCTGGATCGTTCCCTACAATCCGCACATCCTTCGCGCGCTGGACTCACACGTCAACGTCGAGCTGATCACGCACGCGATGGGAGCGATCCGCTACTGCATCAAGTACGTCACCAAGGCTCGGATAGGATCATGTTCGCCGTGCAGCCCGACGGCGTGGTTGACGAGGTGACCCAGTATCAGAACAGCCGGTACCTGGGATCCATGGAGGCAGCGTGGCGGCTGCTCGACCGACCAGTCCACGTCCATCATCCGCCGGTCCAGCGGCGCTGCAGCTGCATCTCGGTGACGACGAGAGACGTGTCGTGTTCCGCGGCGACGAAAACCTGGAAGCGGTCATCGCGGGCGAGCAGGCTAATCCATCCATGCTCACAGCCTTCTTTGAGCTGTGCCAGCGTGACGCGTTCGCGGCGACACTCCTCTACCCAGAGGTGCCGCGATACTACACGTGGCAGGTGCGACGCGGCCGGGGCGCAGACGCCCGTCCGGCCCACTGGAAACGCCGCGTCCGTGGCCAGCCTCACCCCGAGGTGCCGGGCGTGGTTGCCTCTGAGACTCTGTCGCGCGTGTACACCACGACGCCGCGCGCGGGCGAAGTTTTCTTTCTTCGCCTGCTCCTTCACAGCGTCCGAGGTCCGCGCTCTTACGAGCACCTCCGCACGGTCGATGGCCGCGTGTGTGCCACCATGCGCGAGGCGTGCTCCGCACTGGGGCTGCTCGAGGACGGAGCGCACTGGGCGCGCGCACTGGAGGAGGCGAGTGTGACGCGCTTTGCAGGTGGTTTGCGTTTCCTCTCTTCGCTCTGATTCTGATCGAGGGAGAGGCTACGTGCGATCCCATGGCGCTGTGGATGAGGTTCGCGGACGCCCTGTCCGAGGACATCGCTCGCCGTCAGCGCACCGCTCGCGCGGCTGGCAGACGTGGTCTCACCGAGGACGAAGTGCGCCAGCAGGCGCTGCGGAAGATCGCTGGCATTCTCCGCCGGCTGCGCGGCAGATCTCTGGCGGAGTACGGACTGCCGTGCCGCCGGTGCCGGACGCCGCCGCCGCCGCCGATGGCGACGACGACGAGCCGCCCGGCGGTCCCGAGTACGACCCGGCCGCTCTGGCCGATCGCGTTGAGCGCGACGAGCCGCGTCTGACGGATGACCAGCGCGCCGTCTATGACGAGGTGCTGCGACGGCTGGACAATGACGAGTCGGGTGTCATCTTCCTGCAAGCTCCAGGCGGCTGCGGGAAGACGTTCTTGGAGAACCTGCTGCTGGCCAAGGTGCGCAGCCGGGGACACGTGGCAGTTGCAGTGGCCACATCCGGCATCGCAGCCAGCCTGTTGGAGGGCGGCACGACTGCCCATCATCGGTTCAAGATCCCTCTGCAGCTGCATCCTGACAACGAGAACGTCTGCGGCATTGATCGCCGCTCTCCCGAGGCCGACTACCTTCGCCGCTGTCGCCTCATTGTATGGGACGAAGCGGCCATGACGAACCGGCGCGCCACTGAGGCGGTCGACCGGGCTCTCCAAGACGTCCGCGACAGGCAAGAGCTGTTTGGCGGCGTTCTGACGCTGCTCTCTGGCGACTGGAGACAGATCCTGCCAGTGGTGAAGCGCGGCGGCGCGCAGAGGTTGTTGACGCCTGCCTCAAGTCATCGCCCATGTGGCCTCGGATCGACACCATGGAGCTCGCGACCAACATGCGGGCGTTGAACGGCGACGATCAGGCCGGTGAGTTCGCCAACTTCCTGCTGCGCGTCGGCGACGGCCGGCTGCCCGTCGTGGCACAGCCCTCGGTGCAGGTGCCCGAGTTGGTGGTCAGTCCGGCGCGCAGTCTCGCCGCCTTGGTCGATCGCATTTTCCCTGACATGGCCGGGCGACACCGTGATGAAGAGTGGCTGCATGAGCGCGCCATCCTCTCGCCGCTAAATGCGACCGTTGACAGGGCGAATGAGGCCGCGCTGGCCCTTCTGCCCGGCGAAACAGTCACGTACGCTAGCGTCGACACCATCAGTGACGACGACAACGAGGATCACGGGCCTCCGGTGCCCACCGAGGTGCTCAACGCGATCGACGTGTCGGGCATGCCGTCGCATCGACTTCAGGTCAAGGTCGGCGCCCCGGTCGTGTTGATGCGCAACCTCGACGCTCCGCGCGTCGTGAACGGCACGCTGTGCACGCTGCGCGCCGCGCCCAACGTGCTCGAGCTGCGAATCGCCAGTGGAGTCGCGCGTGGCGAGACGCTGTTTTTGCCGCGCCTCCCTCTGGTGGTGAGCGCTGTCGATTCCGCATCGGCCGACCATTCCGCCGCTGTCAGTTCCCCGTCAAGCTGTCATTCGCCATGACCATCAATCGCTGCCAAGGGCAGACTAAGCGACGCGTGGGCATATATCTGCCATCCCCGGCCTTCACTCATGGCCAGTTCTACGTGGCTCTCTCGCGCGTAGGCAGCTTTGATTCAGTCGAGGTGCTTTCCACGCACAACCATCGGACGCGGAATGTCGTATACAGAGAGGTTCTGTGCGCGCGCCAGGATCGGGCGTCATACGGGTGCGTTATGGGGCGTTATCTTAGTTCGGTTGTCGAGCGACGATCGGATGTACCCCGCGTTGTGCCGTCCTTCACCCAATTGCTATGACGTTGAGCCCGGAGTGGCCGGAGGAAGCCCTTGCTCCTTGAGTGGGAGGGCCACTCTGTCTGTCCGGGTGGTCAATGTCGACGGCCAACTGTAGGCTGCGGCCAATCGTATTGGGCGTTAGGAAGCGGGTGCGTCATCGGCCGTAATCTTAAACGTTATCGGAAGTATAGTCAGGCGGCGGCGTCCAAGAGCGGTCAGATACTCCTGTGGTCAGTCGTGTGGTACGGCTGGTGGTCCGTGTGCTGGGATTTTTTAGTCTGGAAATGTTAGCGCGTCGCTGTTGGTTGTGAGACCCCCTTTCAGACGTGTGAACGTCTGAAGTCCGTTTCGTGTGATCGATCGGACACTTCACCCCTTGATAGGGGGAGTCTAAACCGCTGCGGGGCGAGTCTTACGTCTGAGCGTGTCAGTGAGTGAGTCCGTGTGCGAATGTGTGCGTGACTGTAACTGTGTCAACTGTCAGGTGTGACGGTTGTTAGGCGCGTCGCTGTCGGTTGTGAGACCCCCTTTCAGACGTGTGAACGTCTGAAGTCCGTGTCGTGTGATCGATCGGACACTTCACCCCTTGATAGGGGGTCTAAACCGCTGCGGGGCGAGTCTTACGTCGGGGGGTGCCAGTGAGTGAGTGCGTGGCTGCATCTGCATCCTGTGCTTAACCCTTTCGGTGCTGTGGGTATTTGGAGTGGTGAATGATTGCGCGTGAGTGAGTGTATGCCGGTACGCGCTGACGTAACGGGCCCTTAACCGTTATACTAAAAGTTTGACATCGTTAACGTAAGTTCATCAGGAGGCTGACATTGACATTTCAGTGTGCTTAACTCATTTCATTGTGCTTAAATCATATTTCAAAGTTACTTTAAAAACGTGTTAAGGGCGGGTGCGCGCTCGGAGCACTTCCACGACAGTGCACCCTGGTAACAGGCTGTGTTCAGTGTGCGGAGCCGACCTTGATGTTCCCTATAAAACCTTCAATCTATCCATCACCTCGGCACGGCGACCCTGAACTATGCCTGGCTAAGACTCCGAGCCTTTTGACTTCCTTATGCCGTGTCCCTGACTACATTTCTCGCCACCATGCAGTTAACCAGCAGGGCCGCCAGTCATCGACACCGGCTGCCGCCAGCAGCCGCAGCTGACGCCAACAAACCCCGGATCCGATAAGCTCTGCCAGGCAATCGGACCAGACCAGTCCAGCTAATCCCAGCAAGTCATTCTGACTGTGTCTAATCCGGTCAGTGTGTCGCCTAATGCCGCTTTGACACTTTGCTTACTTCTGTTTCCTAATCGGCCTTCCTATTGTGTATCGCCATAGCAGCACGCTACATTTACACTACTTCTACTTCACTGCTCTTTTTCTCCTACTGAGCATGCTGCCTACACAGGGCGGTTTTTGTAGCGTAGCTTAGCACGCCAGCATTACCGCTGTCAACCTTCTGAATTCATGTCAGAATGATTCGCCATGTCAACTACTGTGACCTGTCCCCTGGCCCAGTTAGGTAAATCGCTGCTGCTAGATTTCACATAAACATTCACTGCTCGAATTGGCTAATCCCGTCGTTTGGCTGCTGCAAATCTCCTGTGGCCCAATCATGCGCGCGGAGCAAGCAAGTCACCTAGTTTATTTAATATCCATTTGACTAGGATTGGCGTTTTTGAAACGCTCAGTTTTTGCAGCGAGCTTTTCCTGTTAGGGCCTGCGAGATACCCGCGGAAACACATATCTCTTCAGCATTGCGCGCCACACAGGAATGCGGCTGATTCACGTGCTTTTGTGAGCGAGGTGCTTCCCTCCGGAGAAATTCGCCGTCCCCATATGCTTAACACAGAGCCGAGCGGCGGCTGACAGGTGGCCGGCTCTCGGGAGATCGGCAGCCGACACTCGAAAAATCGACAAGCCGCCGCTGAATGCGCGTGCGGCAGTGCTGAGCCGAGTCGTTCCCACGGTCTGAGGTACCCCCAGTTTGAAGATTCGGCCTTAGAATATGTAGTTTTAAATACGTAGTTTGACGTACATCTCGGAAAAGTGAGATACGGCCAGAAATGAGTGTGGGTCCCTCCGTTCTGAAGATTCTGATCGACGCCGATTGAAATAATTCGCCGTGCATATCTCGGCTTATTGACGACCGATTGACACGGGATAACACCGATCGATACCAAATGGCTCTGTGGGGGGGGGGGGGAGTAGAGTGGCAAGTTTTCCTACCCGACGAACCCGGAATTATCCCGAGGGGTAGGTGTGGGTAGAGTCGGGGGAACGGGGGGGGCGAGTGCAAGTACCAAGTACTTTCGCAAGTACCAAGTACCAAGTACTTATGGAAATACCAAGCAAATACCAAGTACTTTGGCAAATACCGAGTACTTATGCAAATACCAAGCAAGTACCAAGTACTTTGGCAAGTACCGAGTACTTTGGCAAGTACCAAGCAAGTACCAAGTACTTTTGCAAGTTCAGCAAGTTTTTCGCCAATATCGAAGCTTCTAGACTCCGATCGTCACCGGAAAACACCATTCGATCCCAAATTTTCTCCCGAATCTTTTATGGCCAAAGCGACGCGGAGCGAGCCAAGATATCTTGTTTAAATATCCATTTGAGTAGGATTTCGGGTTTTTTTGAAGCGGTCAGTTTTTGCAGCGAGCTTTTCCTGTTAGGGCTTGCGAGATACCCGCGGAAACACATATCTCTTCAGCATTGCGCGCCACACAGGAATGCGGCTGATTCACGTGCTTTAGTGAGCGAGGTGCTTCCCTCCGGGAGAAATTCGCCGTCCCCATATGCTTAACACAGAGCCGAGCGGCGGCTGACAGGTGCCGACACTCGAAAAATCGACAACCCGCCGCTGAACGCGCGTGCGGCAGTGCTAAGCCGAGTCGTTCCCACGGTCTGAGGTACCCCCAGTTTGAAGATTCGGCTGTAGAATATGTAGTTTTAAATACGTAGTTTGACGTATATCTCGGAAAGTGAGATACGCCAGAAATGAGTGTGGGTCCCTCCGTTCTGAAGATTCTGATCGACGCCGATTGAAATAATTCGCCGTGCATATCTCGGCTTATTGACGACCGATTGACACGGGATAAACACCGATCGATACCAAATGGCTCTGTGTGGGGGGGGAGTAGAGTGGCAAGTTTTCCTACCCGACGAACCCGGAATTATCCCGAGGGGTAGGTGTGGGAGTAGATCGGGGGAACGGGGGGGCGAGTGCAAGTACCAAGTACTTTCGCAAGTACCAAGCAAGTACCAAGTACTTTTACAAGTACCAAGCAAGTACCAAGTACTTATGGAAATACCAAGCAAGTACCAAGTACTTTGGCAAATACCGAGTACTTATGCAAATACCAAGCAAGTACCAAGTACTTTGGCAAGTACCGAGTACTTTGGCAAGTACCAAGTACTTTTGCAAGTTCAGCAAGTTTTTCGCCAATATCGAAGCTTCTAGACGTCCGATCGTCACCGGAAAACACCATTCGATCCCAAATTTTCTCCCGAATCTTTTTATGGCCAAAGCGACGCGGAGCGAGCCAAGAATCTTGTCAAGTCACCTAGTTTATTTAAATATCCATTTGAGTAGGATTTGGCGTTATTTGAAGCGCTGAGTTTTTGCAGCGAGCTTTTCCTGTTAGGGCCTGCGAGATACCCGCGGAAACACATATCTCTTCAGCATTGCGCGCCACAGGAATGCGGCTGATTCACGTGACAAACTCGATGGCGGTCCCTCCATTCCGGAGAAAAATTACCGGCCGACGGCTGGAAAATTCCACCGGCCGGCCCGGCGCCGGTGTGCATGTGCATGTACATATGATAAGCGTAACGCATTTATAAATCGTGAAATCGTCTTTTTTTTCTCAATACACGATGCTGCCGAGATACACGAGCGCTTTATGCCGATCATCTCCCGTCTGCAACTTCCGTGACGGGCCGTCTGCTCGGCCGCGGCGCCGGCGTCCGCCCGTACTAGATCGGCCGGTTTTCGTCACCGGACGAGCCCGGACTCGCCAAAAATTCAGGTAAGTTGGGGCCGACAGAGGGTGGAATTGATTGAGGGACGATCGAAAAACATGATACAAATATAGGTAAAACATTTTGCAAGTAGGACTCGAAAATCTCTAATCGTACGATTTCCGTCAGAACCGGGTTCGACAAATGTTTGCTCCAGCTGCGGAGAGCAAACTGCGTCACTATAGTTACATACCATAATACGATAGAGGGACTGCAAAGTAAGACATAGTTTAGCTCTAAAAAGTAGAAAAATATGGCAAGCATTTCTGTGTAACAAAGTATTCATGAACTCCTTCAAATAGGCATTTCTTTTAATACGCTTAATATTCATCACTAAATCGGCCGTTGTGTTTGGACCGAGGTGAGCTTGGTGGTGGATGCGTCACAATGATTTAGATAAAACATTTTGAATTTGGAGGGTGTTAAGATTACATATGAATGCCAATTGACCTTGAAGCTGTTGTTAATTACTGGATGATTTTTCAAGGTGGTTTTGGTGCATAAAGGCTTATTTTATACGAAAAATGCAAGTGGCGCGGCTAACGTGGCGCGTGCATGATTGCCTTTAATTGAAGTGATTTATCCTAATATTTTGCCTCATGAAACAATTTGAAGCAAAAGTTTAGTTTTTGCCAGTTTTTATTAGTCTGCTGCTTAAAACATTTTTGAACTTTTTTAATATGGTGATGGTGAAACGTGATGTTAGGAACTTGAAAAGCAGTTACCTAGCAGGTTAAAGCCGCCCTCTGAACCGGGGCTCTAAATGTGCATAAAACCAACAGAACAGGTGTGGCGTCAGCAGAAATGCAAAAGCTGAACCCTTCCCTTCTAATATGACCTTGCCATTCCCAATGTAACTAAGCCTTATTTGGCCCAGCGGATGGTCAGGTGAGTCATAAATATTTTTTTTAAAATAAAAAGTATTGTGAGTATCAATGCGTGATGTTATTTTCCAATCTTAGAAGGATGTTTTCATATTTTATTGCCTGAATTCATTCAGTTTCTGCTTTGCAAAGGGTGGAAAAGGTAGTTGGAGCTGCAGCGCTCAGCTAACTGCATGATTTACTTCAAGTACAAGATAGGGCTGCCTGCTCCTTTTTTGGCACTTTGTTCAAAAATTTCCTGTTAGACAGGAGATTTAAAGCCGCCCTCTGAACCCAGGGCTCTAAATGTGCATAAAACCAACAGAACAGGTGTGGCCGTCAGCAGAAATGCAAAAGCTGAACCCTTCCCTTCTAATATGACCTTGCATTCCCAATGTAACTAAGCCTTATTTGGCCCAGCGTATGTCAGGTGAGTCATAAATATTTTTTTTAAATAAAAGTATTGTGGTATCAATGCGTGATGTTATTTTTCCAATCTTAGAAGGATGTTTTCATATTTTATTGCCTGAATTCATTCAGTTTGTGCTTTGCAAAGGGTGGAAAAGGTAGTGGAGCTGCAGCGCTCAGCTAACGCATGATTTACTTCAAAGTACAAAGATAGGGCTGCCTGTTCTTTTTTTGGCACATTTGTGCAAAAATTTCCTGTTAGACAGGAGACATTTTGGTTCTCTCCAGTCAGTCATCAGTTGCTAAGAAGCTGGACCTAATTTAAATTTGCAGAACGTAACCTGTCTTGACCAAATCTGACACTACATAATCAACCTTACCTTGCTCGGGGTGGGGTTTGGTACATAAATGTTTGTGTAAAATGTATTGTGAGTTTTGATGTGTGGTGTCACTTGGGAACTTGGAGGATGAGTTTTTTTTCTTTTTTCTCTTAAATTACTGAATTTCTTCAGTGTTTGGAGGTTGCATAAGGCAGTGATAGCAGGAAAAACATGACATTTTCGATCTATATGTCAGTGTGTGACTGCATCCGTCATTGAAACGTAGGTTGCACAGTAGATGTTCTCTAGGGGCTAGGTGCTAGATGTGAGTTGTTGGCTATTTTTCTACCTTTATTACATCTGTAAACAGTGTTGATATAGCAACAGCTGCAATCAGCTGTCAGCTGATTGCATAATGTTCTTGAAGAGCGAAGTTAGGACCACCTGTTGTTTTTCGACTCGACTCAACTAATTTTGAATTTTAACTATTTAAACTGGGAGTCATGTGGTAGTAGCGCCTGATTGATTTGGTTAAATGCTTTGAATGTAAATGAAAGGCTTAAAAATAACATTCTAATAAAGAATTGATATATCATTGCAAAGGTGGCTGCTATGGTGCTAAATTATTGCTTGAATTTGAAATTCATCTCTGTGTTTGAACTCAGGCTAGCAGCATTGTGGTAGTGCGCCAGACTGTTATAACTAAATACTTAAATCTGTAATTAAAATTATAAAATTATTATAATCTAACATAAAGAACTGACGCTGGCAGATGGATTGTGTTTGGTGTTTGTCTATTGATAAGACAGTATTACCCATGTGCCCTCTCCTAGCAGATTCTGATTGTAATCCCGTAGTGCCTGATTGATTTGGTTAAATGCTTTGAGTTTAAATGAAAAGCTTAAAAAATATTATTCTAACAAAGATTGATAATGGCAGAGGTGTGGTAAAAAATAATATTCTAACAAAAAATTGATAATGGCAGAGGCGTGGTAGTTGTGGATTGCAGGCACTAATGTGATCTTGAAAAAGATATCGGTCAGCAGGACCGACCGACCGACCGACCGACCGACCGACCGACCGACCGACCGACCGACCGACCGACCGACCGACCGACCGACCGACCGACCGACCGACCGACCGACCGACCGACCCGACCCGACCCGACCCGACCCGACCCGACCCGACCCGACCCGACCCGACCCGACCCGACCCGACCCGACCCGACCCGACCCGACCCGACCCGACCCGACCCGACCCGACCCGACCCGACCCGACCCGACCGACCCGACCCGACCCGACCCGACCCGACCCGACCCGACCCGACCCGACCCGACCCGACCCGACCCGACCCGACCCGACCCGACCCGACCCGACCCGACCCGACCCGACCCGACCCGAATTTTGAATTTTAACCATTTGAACTGGGGTGAGTCATGTGGTAGTAGTGCCTGATGGATTTGGTTAAATGCTTTGAATGGCTACAGTGTGGGCGGCAGTTCGACCCGAGGCAGGCCAGCACTGCAGCTGTGGAGCCGACATGGGGTCGCCGTGTGGTTAGAGAAGCGATCGAAATTCGAGTGTGCAATCCGTCTTTAAACCAGGGCGTGGGTAAATTCTCGCTTAGCCCCATATGGGACAGTGCTCTAAAACAGTAGTTTTTCTTTGGAAGAGGAAGTGTACCTATTGGCTATGTTTTACATATGAGAATAGGCAAGTTGTGCGTCACGTGCTGGATATTTAGAAATTTGATTGATGTGTTGCGAAAAATGGCTACCTGATTTTTGTCTGTTTTAAACCTATGTGTGCCCCATCGAACGGGACCAATAATAACTTTTACCCACTATCCAGTGAAAGTCCGTTAAAACAATTTCAAACAGTATTACCCTTTTGCCTCCTCCTAGCAGATTCCGATTGTAATCCCGTTCCTTTGTTCCATTTCCAGAATTGCTCGCAATGTCGGGTCAAACACCTCCGCCAACGTCGCCGAGTCGCCCGACCGCCGCCGACCCTCCGGGGCCAGCGCCGGAGACGGTGGCACGGCGCGCTGACGGTCTGATGGTCGATGGCGATGCAGCTGAACCCGCAAACGGTCAACGTAACGGTCAGTCCGTAGATCCGACGGTGAACGCCGCGGCCGCGAGACGGGCGCGTGATCGCGAGCGTCGTCGCCTCGCCCGAGAGCGAGAAACTGAGGCTGAGCGACTTCTTCGCCTGCAACGTAAACGTGAAGGCCAGGCTCTGGCGCGCGCTAGACAAAGAGATCAGACAGGTGGCGCGGGCCCTTCCCATCAGGCGGTAGTCGATGCAGTGCCGGTTCCCGGTCCATCGGGGGCCCAGCCGCCGGTCATCCTTGCCGCGGATATCGCTGCCGCGCGACGCGAGCGTGACCGGGAGCGTCATCGACTTAGGAGGGAGCGTGAATCGGAGGCTGAGCTCGCCGAGCGTCAGCGACGCAATCGTGAGAGAATGGCTACGGCTCGCACTAAGGTCAGGACAGGGAGAGACGGCGCAGGTCTTGAGCCACCTGTTGCTGCTGGTGTGGCGGATCAGCCGATCGCACCACCGACTGCGTTTGAACCGCCGGTGGTGGGCGGTGTCGCGGACGTCGCGCCCGGCGCGGAGGCAGTGGGCGGCGCTGTAGGAGAGGTGGCAACGCACTCGCCCGATGGTGCTGTAGATGCTGTCGAGGCGACAGTAGCCGATGCGCCAGACGACGCAGCGGCGCGCCGGCCCGCGGCCGATGCGCCCGACGCGGAGGCAGTGGGCGGCGCTGTAGGAGAGGAGGCGCCCCACACGCCCGATGGTGCTGTAGACGCTGTCGAGGTGGCAGCGGTCGATGCGCTAGACGGCGCAGCGGCGCGCCGGCCCGCGGCCGATGCGCCCGACGCGGAGGCAGTGGGCGGCGCTGTAGGAGAGGAGGCGCCCCACACGCCCGATGATGCTGTAGACGCTGTGGAGGTGGCAGCGGTCGATGCGCTAGACGGCGCAGCGGCGCGCCGGCCCGCGGCCGATGCGCCCGACGCGGAGGCAGTGGGCGGCGCTGTAGGAGAGGAGGCGCCCCACACGCCCGATGATGCTGTAGACGCTGTGGAGGCGGCAGCGGTCGATGCGCCAGACGGCGCAGCGGCCCGCCAGCCCGCGGCCGATGCGCACGACGCGGAGGCAGTGGGGGGCGCTGATGGACAGGCTCCGGTGGACGCGCCCGCCCGTCGTCGAGGCGACCAGCACCTGCTGGCTCGCAATTATGTCCCCGCCGAGTTCGAGCCGCCGGCTGGCATGCAGCTGGGCCGAATGGACACCGTCTGTGCCCATTGTGGAGCGCTGCGCTGGCGTGCCGAGCCCGCAGGCGCCTGTTGCCATCAGGGCAAGGTGCAGCTTGACTTCCATCCCCCGCCGCCGGACGAGATGGTGGAGCTGATGACCCCCGGCACGGCGTTCTATGACGAGTTTCGGGGCAAAATTCGCGCTTACAACACGGCCTTCCAGCTGGCCAGTATGGGGTGCAACGTCGTCCGACACGACGGGGCGTATCACGCGGCTTTCACCGTTCAGGGTAGCGTGTGTCATCGTATGGGATCTCTACTGCCCGCTCGCGGCGGCGAGGAGCAGTTCATGCAGGTGTATTTCCTCGACGCAGACGAGGCCACCGCGCGACGTGCCACCATGTGTGGCGGCCTCGACAGAGCCGTTCTCGACATCCTTTTGGGCATGCTGCACGAGCACAACAACTACGTGCGTGCGCTCCAGCCGGCTCTGCTGATGGCGCGCGGTGTGCCGAACTGCCGGATCGTGTTGTCGGCCGAACACCGGCCGCTGTCGGAGCACGAGCGCCGGTTCAATCTACCGATCGGTCGCGAAGTGGCGGTCCTGATGCCCAATGAGATGGGGGGCCGGCGCGACATCGTCGTTCGCGAGCGCGGCGGACAACTGTTCCGCATCGACGAACTGAGCCGCCAGTACGACCCGCTGCTCTATGTGCTGCTGCACCCGCGCGGCACGGACGGGTGGTCGCTCGAGCTGAAGGCCGAGCGCGGCGTCACAATCCGTCAGTATGGTGCGTTCCACATGCGCTTCCGACCGGGTCATTTCAATCTCATTCCGCGAGGGGGCCGGCTGTTTCAACAGTACCTGGTGGACACTGAGGCAAAAGCTGAGTCGAGTCGTCTGTCGTATGTGCGCGCGAACCAGGACGGCTTCAACGGCTTCCGCGCCGAGACCATCCGCGGCGTGCGAGACGCGCTGGCTGACGGCGAGGAGCACGGCCGAGCCGTCGGACGGCGCGTGGTGCTGCCGGCATCCGTAACGAGTAGTCCGCGCTTCATGATGGCCAAACTACAAGACGCTCTCTGCTACGTTCGAGACTTTGGCGCCGCCGACTTTTTCATCACCGTGACGTGCAACCCGGCCTGGCCAGAGATTGAGCAAACTCTGCGCACCCTCTACCCGGGAGAGAGGCCGGGCGACTACGATCGGCCGTGCGACCACCCTGACGTTGTCAGTCAGGTGTTTGACCTCAAGCTGCAGGCGCTGCTGAAGCAGCTGCGGGGCGGCATCCTGGGTCGACAGCGGGCCATTCTGCACACGATTGAGTGGCAGAAGCGTGGCCTGCCGCACGCTCACCTTCTGCTGTGGGTCGTGCCCGCCGACAAACCTCGCGCCGAAGACGTGGACACGTGCGTGTGCGCTGAGCTGCCAGATCCCGAGACCGATCCGGAACTGCACGCGATCGTCTGCACCAAGATGGTGCATGGTCCGTGCGGCGCGCTGAACCCGCAGGCGGTCTGCATGAAGGACGGCCGCTGTAGCGTCGGCTATCCGCGCCCGTATCTGGAGGCCACAGAGCTGCCAGAGCGCAGCTATCCCAAGTACAGGCGGCGCGCGCCGGAGGACGGCGGTCAACGTGCGCGGACGCCCGGACGGCGCGGTGTGGAAATCGACAACCGCTGGATCGTTCCCTACAATCCGCACATCCTTCGCGCGCTGGACTCACACGTCAACGTCGAGCTGATCACGCACGCGATGGGAGCGATCCGCTACTGCATCAAGTACGTCACCAAGGGCTCGGATAGGATCATGTTCGCCGTGCAGCCCGACGGCGTGGTTGACGAGGTGACCCAGTATCAGAACAGCCGGTACCTGGGATCCATGGAGGCAGCGTGGCGGCTGCTCGACCGACCAGTCCACGTCCATCATCCGCCGGTCCAGCGGCTGCAGCTGCATCTCGGTGACGACGAGAGACGTGTCGTGTTCCGCGGCGACGAAAACCTGGAAGCGGTCATCGCGGGCGAGCAGGCTAATCCATCCATGCTCACAGCCTTCTTTGAGCTGTGCCAGCGTGACGCGTTCGCGGCGACACTCCTCTACCCAGAGGTGCCGCGATACTACACGTGGCAGGTGCGACGCGGCCGGGGCGCAGACGCCCGTCCGGCCCACTGGAAACGCCGCGTCCGTGGCCAGCCTCACCCCGAGGTGCCGGGCGTGGTTGCCTCTGAGACTCTGTCGCGCGTGTACACCACGACGCCGCGCGCGGGCGAAGTTTTCTTTCTTCGCCTGCTCCTTCACAGCGTCCGAGGTCCGCGCTCTTACGAGCACCTCCGCACGGTCGATGGCCGCGTGTGTGCCACCATGCGCGAGGCGTGCTCCGCACTGGGGCTGCTCGAGGACGGAGCGCACTGGGCGCGCGCACTGGAGGAGGCGAGTGTGACGCGCTTTGCAGGTGGTTTGCGTTTCCTCTTCGCTCTGATTCTGATCGAGGGAGAGGCTACGTGCGATCCCATGGCGCTGTGGATGAGGTTCGCGGACGCCCTGTCCGAGGACATCGCTCGCCGTCAGCGCACCGCTCGCGCGGCTGGCAGACGTGGTCTCACCGAGGACGAAGTGCGCCAGCAGGCGCTGCGGAAGATCGCTGGCATTCTCCGCCGGCTGCGCGGCAGATCTCTGGCGGAGTACGGACTGCCGGTGCCGCCGGTGCCGGACGCCGCCGCCGCCGCCGATGGCGACGACGACGAGCCGCCCGGCGGTCCCGAGTACGACCCGGCCGCTCTGGCCGATCGCGTTGAGCGCGACGAGCCGCGTCTGACGGATGACCAGCGCGCCGTCTATGACGAGGTGCTGCGACGGCTGGACAATGACGAGTCGGGTGTCATCTTCCTGCAAGCTCCAGGCGGCTGCGGGAAGACGTTCTTGGAGAACCTGCTGCTGGCCAAGGTGCGCAGCCGGGGACACGTGGCAGTTGCAGTGGCCACATCCGGCATCGCAGCCAGCCTGTTGGAGGGCGGCACGACTGCCCATCATCGGTTCAAGATCCCTCTGCAGCTGCATCCTGACAACGAGAACGTCTGCGGCATTGATCGCCGCTCTCCCGAGGCCGACTACCTTCGCCGCTGTCGCCTCATTGTATGGGACGAAGCGGCCATGACGAACCGGCGCGCCACTGAGGCGGTCGACCGGGCTCTCCAAGACGTCCGCGACAGGCAAGAGCTGTTTGGCGGCGTTCTGACGCTGCTCTCTGGCGACTGGAGACAGATCCTGCCAGTGGTGAAGCGCGGCGGGCGCGCAGAGGTTGTTGACGCCTGCCTCAAGTCATCGCCCATGTGGCCTCGGATCGACACCATGGAGCTCGCGACCAACATGCGGGCGTTGAACGGCGACGATCAGGCCGGTGAGTTCGCCAACTTCCTGCTGCGCGTCGGCGACGGCCGGCTGCCCGTCGTGGCACAGCCGGACTCGGTGCAGGTGCCCGAGTTGGTGGTCAGTCCGGCGCGCAGTCTCGCCGCCTTGGTCGATCGCATTTTCCCTGACATGGCCGGGCGACACCGTGATGAAGAGTGGCTGCATGAGCGCGCCATCCTCTCGCCGCTAAATGCGACCGTTGACAGGGCGAATGAGGCCGCGCTGGCCCTTCTGCCCGGCGAAACAGTCACGTACGCTAGCGTCGACACCATCAGTGACGACGACAACGAGGATCACGGGCCTCCGGTGCCCACCGAGGTGCTCAACGCGATCGACGTGTCGGGCATGCCGTCGCATCGACTTCAGGTCAAGGTCGGCGCCCCGGTCGTGTTGATGCGCAACCTCGACGCTCCGCGCGTCGTGAACGGC